GAATTTGAATTTTTGAAATTTGAAATTTTGAATTTCTTGAAAATGGCTGAAACCGGAGAAACGATCAACATAACCAGGAATACGAATGCTGGCATGGACGTTGAGCATTATGCCTTGAACACTCTGACACTTTTCATGTGTGTGATCACAAACACCATCGTCTTGTTCGTAGTCCGACGGCAAAAAGATCTCCAAGAAGTGATGCGAGTTCTTTACCAAATTCTTTCTGTAACTAACGCCGTCTTGGGTATTAGTTGGAGCTTTTGGAACATTATGTATACAAACGCAAGGGGAGACAACACGATTTGCACCTTCATTAGCATGGCGTTTCCATTTGTTTTCTACAGCTCTTTGTTGACCAAAACCTGTTGTCTCTGCGGAATCAGCGTTAACCTCTACATCCTTGTCACAAGTCCTCTACGATATTACACGATTGTAACGAGAACGCGGTTTTACATCGTACTTGGAGCCAGTGCCATCACGATCATTCTGGTATATGGCGTATATCTGCCCATCCCAGCTTCGCCCTTCATAAATCTTTTGACTTACCGTTGTATTTCCCAAAATTTAGTCGTCAGCTCTCAATGGCCATCCATAGTCCACACAACATTTGCGCTACTTCCCGTTGGCGCAACTATGTTAGTTACAACAGCTATACTCTTCATTGTGCGCCAACTGAAAAACGTTGGCGCCGTTCCTGGATATCCTCGCCGCGTCTACGTCAATCATATCGACATCGATAGGCGCCCGACTCGCTCTGATGACCGTGGTCATGAAGAGCCACCCACCAATGATGTTGTTCGCGACCACGGCGTTATTCGTAATCGTCCACGTAGGAAGGGATTGAGAGGATTGGTCACGGTGATCCTCCAAACAGGCTCCTTTTACATCATATGGACACCTTACGTTGTATATTTTGTGATACCTGTTACATTGAAGCAGGGGCTTATTATAGATAGGGTGGTAGGACTCAACTCCTGGGTGCAGCCAATCATCTATCTGCTCACTAACCCAGAAGCGAGAGGGCTGTGTTTGAAAGCTATCCGCCAATGCCGTCAAAAACTGAGATAATAATAATAATAATGATAATAATAATAGGTCCATTTTTAGCGCCGCTACTGTATGAATATACTCTACTGCTCTTTAAGCCAATCTCTACTAATTTACAGGAGGGATTATTCCACCCTGCAAGGTCACTGACAGGTGGTTATCTCATCAAATCAACCCTCAATTAACATAAGAAAAAGAGGATCATTGGGGACCAATGGTCACCGATTAGGCATTGTTTGCTATATAGAGGGCGCAAGTAGCTTAAGTAGAGCAATGGGGCTTTCATACAAAATATCTTATTATTACTCCGGCTGTAGCTGAGCCGCTATGAAAAGGCGCAAAAGCATTCAAAGAATCCTTTCCTGCCGTGGACCCATTTACTTCACCTGGATGGAGAGTGGCAAATAAAGATTAACGTCTCACCAAAGGACATTCTGGCCGCGGTGGGACTCGAACCGCGAACCATTGTGATCCACAGTCCGGTGACATATCCACTAGACCACGAAACCTCAAGATGAATGATGATCGAACTTTGATCAAATCTTGAGCGAATTACATATTATAATAAAATCAAATTTATATGTGCAAGCTCGCTGATACTACATTAAAACCCATTGGTGGTGTCGTGGTTCATTCACTTGATTCTCAATCCATGAGTTGAGGGTTCGAATCACAGCCCGGCACTAACGTCTTTTGGTGAGATGTTCATCCACGTTTGCCATCCTCCACCCAGGTGTAAATGGGTACTTTGTAATCACATGGGTAATCGTATTGCTCCGATTGTCTCATTTTCGCTCGCGTGAACATTGCCAGCACAAAACACTGACCTCTACCTCCTGGACGGATCATCCCCCATTCCCATTCACTATACGTTACGTACTAAAAGGCTGTATTGTCTGACCGTTCATGAATATTCATGTTTTTGTTAAACTGGGCAAAATGTTTGCTTTTACTAAATGGAAAAATTACGGTGGGGGATTTGATGAAATGGACATAATGAACATAGCAGAAGTGATAATTGATAATTCATGCTTCTTATCATTCGTGTGCTTGACCTATAATCTTACAATCACTTGGCAGACTGAGTCCAAAGTTCGATTTGTTTCACATGACTGTGTATTATAGGCAATGGCGAGCTTGCAACCTATTTTGAAAAATTACGGTGGGTGAACTTTCAAAAGTCAATGAGACATGAGGGCTCCAATGAAAGAGCTAGTGATAACGTACGTCGGGTGGATGTGCTTTTCGTTTAAACAAAAAATGAACATTTAACGATTTAAAAAACAAACGTCCATAGGCTAACTTGTATGGCGTTGTGAAATGAATAATTCCATGGCCCTCAGGAAGAACAACATTACAGCTGATGAGGCCTTCCTTGGTTAACAATATTATTATCAGTAGTAGTAGAAGTAGTATTATTATTAGTATTATGGTATATTTTGAGTGGCTGGGTCAAAATAGTACTACTATGGTACTACTTTTATCGTGTTATTTTGAGAAAGAAAAACATCTTTTAAAAGATAACTGTTCGTCAGTACTATACGGTACTAACCTAAACAAAATTTCTGTATTACTTTTTTTTGACCTGAGAGCTTTTTTTCTTCTTTTTCATGCAGTAGTAGTTGCAATGTGAAATTATATATAATTATATATATGTTTTGTTGATTTGTTTACTTTTAATGATTTATTTTTGTATCTTTTGTACCTTTTTTTATCTTGTGTTTTATTGGCCCAGTGGAGGACCCGCAGCAACAATATACTGTTGCAGCTGATTTTGGGTTAAAGACGATGGTCCCGTACATATTATAATTGGCTAAAGATAAAATAGTAAAAATAGAACGAAAGCCAAATACATCGCGCAACTTGTGACACTTTTGCAGCAGAAACAGTTCCAATCACATATTGAGGCACGATCTTAGTAACGTTTATATTTTATGAGGCAATTGAATAGGGTTAATTGAAAAACAGATTATTATGTCTTTACGTCATACTGTCCGATTTATGTTATAATTTGAGTATTAAAAGGGGAGATACTCACATAATTAAGACATACGGAGATGGCCTCCCTAATGGCTAACTTTTTCACAAAATATCCCTAAACATGGGTCCCATTTTTAACAAAAATACCCTTTAAAATGGGTCTGTTTTTTCAAAAATTCAAAATTTACAAGAACTGGCACGATGCTTGTACACAAACATCGTAGCCCGTGACCTCCGACGATGCGCAACAAATCGTAGACCAATTTATAATACGGTGCCCGAGGGAAATGTAAACTACCCATAAGTTAATTGGTGCTGTTCTGGTGTGAAGGGTTCGCATACTAGTAAATGAAATAGATTTTTCAACCGCTATATTTTAGTACATTATACACATACTTTTTAATAAATGAGTTACAATTTTACCCCATAACATATTTTTCACCAAATGTAACTTTTACCTTCTCGACTATGATTTCCCCTCATTGAAAAGTAAAGGTTTTGTTATTGAATTAAAAAAGTCTTTCCAATTAAGCCTTGGGCATGATACATGTACAACTCCACCTGGTACGTCACATTTTCAAGAAAATGGCTGCGCCCATGTCATGCTAAAAGGCATTACATCATGCCAATAAATCTTCATTTATAAATCTCTTGTACACTTTCGTAAGATTTATTGTACACTGTTGCTCATAAAGTTAAAATTTCTTTTTGTTTACCCCAATTGATGGAATTATTTTGACAAGGATTTATTTCTAATATATATAAAAAATCCTTTGTACGGCCATGCATTATGGCTCAAGGCATGGCACACAGAAGATTTTTTTTCTGTATATCAAAAGGCAGGAATTCATCTCTTTAAAAAAAATACTTACACTTATTCTTTGGGGTTAGTTCTTTTTTAAAAGCCATTATGTGTTGCTTATCATTTCTCGATATACATGCAATTTTCGTAATTTTGGATAAATCTATAAGGCAGTGTAACCAATTTTTTTCGGGAAGGATCTACTTTCAGTTCACATCTAAATTCTTTTCTTATGATATCCCAGAGGGAGCCACCCAGTTCCGCACTTGAGCGAAACCCTCGTGATCAGACGAGCGGGTGTGTCAGGATGGTGCCGAATAAGAAAGGACGGGATAATAATAATTACATGTTTGTTATATCTTGGAAAAATAAAGGATACAATAAAAATTATGATAAAATAGAGCTTGAGGTGAATTCATTCTTTATTATTAAAGTTCATGAAAAATTAACAAAATATTAAATTTGGCTGATTGCCATATAACGCTAAACGCAACAACCAAGGGCGTATCCGGGTTTTTTCTTAAGGGGGGGGGGGGTTGCCCAACTCGTGAGAAAAAATTTAAAGGCGAATTAGCCGGGCGGTGAATAAGCGGGTGGGGGGGGGGGGGGGGGGTAAGGAGCATTTTTATTTTTGTAGCCCCATTCGTTATATAATATTTAGCGGCGATTCAGCAGCCGGCAAATAAGCGGGGGGGGGGGGGGGTTAGGAGCACTTTTGGGCTCAACAGAGAAGGGGGCGGGGGAGGGGAGTGAACACTCCTTTTTTCCCATCATTCGCCCCCACCCCCTCTTGAGCAAACCCCCTGTTTTTCCCCCATTTATAAACACCTGAAACACAGATAATGTGTGTCTTCTTTACAAAAAAATACCCCCTTTTTGACAGGGGGTGGGGGGGGGGGCCGGGGGGGGGGGCAGTGTTTGAACATCCAATACCCCCCCCCCCCCCCCCCCGCTCTATTTTGGAAGATGCTCCGCAGACCTTGCATTATGCTAACTTGGTGGTGATGCAGATTTTGTTCCGGTACTGGAACTTGGACCAAGTTTATTATTATGAAGAACTTTTTAGCATGATTATTCTATTCATCGTAACAAAACAACGAATGGAAAGAAGAAAAAAATACTAATGTCTTGATAAAGACTATAGCCTTGATTTCTTTACCACGATATTTACTCTTTGGCTGTGTATCGAGGCAACAAGATCACGCAGGTCTAGCTCACACACAGGAGAGCGAATATTTAGGAGAATCGCGAAAGTTCAAAAAAATATTTGGCCTTTAATTGTCCTCAATATTTGTGTCAACCGTGCCCTCGCGCCGCGCTGCTAGCCAGAAGGTACATGTGATAAAGTACTGCATGTACATGGAGCATTGGATGTCAACTCCGCGGTTCTGCCACCAATGCACGTTTCGTGTGTAGCCTGTACGTGGTCATTGTACCCATGCATAGGATGATGTAGCATGTTTTTCACGTCGCTGTGCCGGCGATTCACACGATTGCACATATACAATCACATGATATTAAACCAAAAGGTCTATGAACTGACGGCCCAAACTGTGCATATAGGGGTGTAATGAAAGGAATGACATGTCATATTCTCGGGTTGAAATGCAGTAGTCGCAGCAGAGAAGTGTGAGTGGAATGATGCAACGTTTTACTGAGATAAAATGGACATGCTTGACGCAGTACTATTACAATACTAATACGCACCACTTGTCATCTACAGGAGCATACATGTAACTTGTACGCTTTAATTCATCTCTAACATTGACGTTACTAGGGACTTTTAGATTTGCGTGGACTGATACGTGTGACGTCCATTCAAGGCAGTGCATCAAAAGGACGTCGATCGTACCATAGACCTATTGTCTTCGTGCGAATCTAAAAGTCCCTATTGATGAAAAAGCAATGACGAACAAGTCCGACTCGGTTGATGGAGGCTGGGCCTGGTGTGTTCTTCTTGCAACTTTCACAAATCAGCTACTCTATGCTGGGGCTGTCCCTTTAGTTGGGATATACTTGGTTGAATGGCAGGAATATTTTGGAGTTGGAGCAGGGTCTTTATCTTTCATTGCCACTGAACTTACCTTGGGTTTACCTGCTATTGGTAATTATTATTAGTCCTTCTTTATTTAAAGATGTGATCATGTATTTGAAACAAGATCTTAGTGAATTAACATAAACGCTTCTTTCAGAACTAACTCACCACGCTATGAACTGCATTATTAAGATGACAAATGGATAGTGCCAATGGAAATGTATTTGACTTGCACTAGCTTTCTACCATTTTAGTAATAAATCGAAGTTTGGCTTTTGGAATTAGATACTATATTAAAGGGTAGGTACAGGGACCCTTAAGCACATTTACATAATTTGTTTAAACATGAAAAATGTTACACATACAGAGAGTTTTGTATCCTCTTCAGTAGCTTTTTCTCTTTATTTGGTAACAAAATTGTGGGCATGATGTAACTGATTAATAAGATAACAATGATTAATGACGTCAGCACCAAAGGTCTCTCACTACCTTTATGTGCAGGTAATAACGGACAGTTCCAAATTAAGACATTTTAAATACAATTTGAATGAAAATGGGATTGTTATGGTTTGTTCAAACACTTTTTGAAAGAGATATAGCAGCCAATGAACTTACTGTAATTTTGAGACGATTCTAAAACAATGTGGCCCAACATATTTCTGTATACGGACATTAACCAACCAACATCGGGTCATTGATTGTCCTCGGCACACTCTACATTCACAACAAACGACCCCCATTTCTCTCTCTTCAAACTTCTCTCCTTCTTTTTTTCTTTTAACCTTCCCTTTTCTCTCGTCTAGCATGTACTTGTATGATGATTATTGTTGTCTCGCCGAAATCTGCAACTGATATCCCCCTTCTTTTCTTTACTTCTTCCTCAATTTTCCTTTCCTTTATCTCCTCTTCAGTGACTGGTCCCTCAGAAACTAGTGCTAATTCAGTCACAGAGAAATCATGATTTCAACTGATGCCTGTCAGTGCATTGTAAATTTGATTTTTCTACAAATTTCATTTGAAAATCTTTTCATATTTGATAAATATGGTGCATTGGCATGTGGGCTATGGTTGGAGCGTTGGATGCGTTGAACAGCGTTGGTGTATTATGTGGATTTATCATATTCATATTCTGAATATTTTCAGCGAATTGAATATTGAAAAGGATGCAATTCATAGTTGTACTCGATAATTCTCACTTAACATATTCTCTCTCTCTCTCTCTCTCTCTCCCTGTCTTGCATAAAGAAAATATGAAAATAATATTTTGCCTTGATTAAGAAAAATTGAAAATTTTATCAGTATTAAACAGGGAGAAGGAAAGGGGAGGAAATTAATCAAAACAAACATTGAAGAATCCAATTCAGTGTTCTTTCGTGATGCATAAGAATGAAAGTACTATGTGGCGGATACGATTCGCCACCTTCCCAGTCTGACACGTAGTATTTGTCAGGATGCCCGAGTCTGGCCTGGCGCTCCCCGTCGTTCGTTTGGACAAAATATATGCCCGCAGCTTGATGGCTGGAGTTCTTTCACTGCTCACGTCACAGGGCGTATTAACAATCATGCATCCTTCGACTGCAATCGGCCACCAATCGTTGTGCACAGCAACAGTCAATCGAACATCCTTCGAGCAATCAATCAATCAATCACCATGCCTTGTCAACTCCTGTCACTGATTCTCGATCTTATTGTCTAACTACGGTTTCACTGTTCTAAGAAATCAGACCAATCATGAGTTGCATGTTGAATTCCTTTAATGCAAACCAACCAACATTCGGGGTAAACTTGATCAACACAAGTACAAGTGTAGACTAGATGTAAGACTTAACTAAGGGTTGGGCCAGACCAACTATCAGGCCAGCCTCGGTGAGGCTGGCCTGTATCGGATACAGTGCAGTGGAAAGCCCTAGATACACAATCCTGCCCGTTCTAATAATTTCCCTATACATAACCGTAAAAAAGGCAATTATGTCCTCGTTAGTAAAACAACACTTCAACACAATATTTCTGCTAATCCCATTAAATCTTCACATATAATCTTCAGTATCACCCCTTATTTCTAATTAGATAACTACTATACAAATAATATCCCCAAAAGAAACATGATAATTGCACCAACATGATTGTTATATGTAATTTATGCTCATTTTCCTTCAGTTTGGTAATTGCTAAATCAACGATGCGCCATATTGCTATAGCGCATGCGGGTACAACAGAAAATGCTTAACCTTCGTCCAATACTAAAACCCTGATTTGTTACAGTACATTAAAAGATGAAATAATAAATTGAAGTGCGATGATAAATCAATTCTTTGACGTTGATTGATTGAATAAAAAATAATGAAACAATATGGTCTGAGGGTCATATATCTTCGAATATTAGAAAGTTTCATCCACCATCGTGTTGTTGAACACTATTTGCAATTTAATTTTAATGCGGTGACGTGTCGGTTACGAGCAGAAGGTCATATCAGGCTTCTATATTTTATAATACTATCAACAGATATCTGGATAGAGACACTTCGTCACATCAAGCTACGAGAAAGTTTATCATCATCTCACAGAATTCTACTCGAACACCGCATCGAAATTCTTTTCACCCTTTTTTTTTCTTCTTCCTCTTTTTGGTCCCTTTTAGCTCTCCTTTTTTCCTTTTCCTTCCTTCTCTCTCTCTTTTTTTAGCGGGGGCGGGGGGAGGCAAAGGCCTTTTGCCCCACCCCCATCCGCAACTTTTTGGCGGGAAAATTGCAACTGCATGATATCCCTCTTCTTTTCTTTACTTCTTCCTCAATTTTCCTTCATTTTATCTCCTCTTTTCCTTTTTTCTTTCCATTTCCTTCCTTCCTTCTCTCTTATTTTGTTTTATTGGGGGGAGGCAACAGCCTGGGAGGCAAGATCCTTTCGCCCCCCCCCCCCGATCTCCTAGCTTCCCCCTTTTCTTTTCTTCTTCCTCTTCTTTCTTTCCCTTTCTCTTCTCTTTCCCTTTCCCTCTTTTCCTTCTCTCTCTCTCTCTTTCTCTCTTTTGCGGAAAGGGGGGGGGGGCAAGGCCCGCTCACCCCCACTGGATCCGCGGCTGCATCTACCTTATATCTACTAACTTTAGACCCTAATAATGGATCTAGAAGATTGATTGACCTGGTCTCAGTGACGGGTAAACTTTTGTTTTCTCAATTACTTGGTCTAACCATGAAAACCGTCTAATTTTACTTTAAATTTTAAACAGTAACAGTTACGACCTAAATTACGGTACGCCCCCCCCCCCGGATCTGCCACTGATCACGGGGATAAAAGTATACAGCTATGTAACAAGTAAATTTCTAAGAGGGAGAATGCCGACTTAAATAAATGATAATGATAAAATACCAAGGAATTTAGGAGTTTCATGGGTACCAATCAAAAGGAAATTTGTATTAAAATAAGAGCCCCCGTCAGCACTAAAAGAGCCCCCGTGAGAAGGTTCACGGGGGCTATTTGTTTTTGGAAGAGCCCCCGTGGACAAAAATTTAATTTGAGCCCTGGTAAAGGTACACAATAATTGACGAAGAAAGATCAAATTGAGTGAAGTGAAGAAAAAGAAGGACATTTTGGCTGCACAGTGTATTCGTAGTCTGTGGCTAAACCAACTCTAAATATGACCCTTTATGTTTAGGGTTAGTGTGTTTGAATGTTAGGATTTAGGTTAGGGGTTAAATTTAGGGTTAGAATTAGGTTTAGTTTTCATCAGAAGAATTGGATACAGACCCAATAGATCGTAAGACCTGAGGGATGTGGGAATTAAGAGACAGAACCTTGGTATTACCTCGTAAGACTAGCGGAATACCTGCTTTTAGTGGTAGTGAATGATTTACAAGAGGGCATCACAATCACACACTGTTTCCCAAAGATGAATTACCATTATCGCATTTTGTACTATGAATACACAATTCTGTTTCTCTCCCAGGTTTCCTCGCAGGGGCGTTATGTCAACGCTTTGGATGCCGTCTTGTGATGATATTTGGTGGTGTTATTGGTATGATTTCTACCTTCTTTGCTTCATTCTCAACACAACTCTGGCATCTCCACATTTATAGCACACTCGCAGGTAAGTAATCTACAAATTTCGTTTTTAGAATTCCATGCTCCGAGCCGCGCTTCCACTGCGGTTTCGTTTGTTGGAAGTAATTTTTGGAATATGCTTCCTACTGATCTAAGAATTGAGAGATCAAGAACCTCTTTTCGTAAAAAACTTACAAAATTACTCTTAAGTGAAAACCACGAATCATATCCTCGTAACTATATAGTTGTACATAGTAACCAGTCTCATTTTAATATTATACACAAATCTTATTTATAAGATTTGGAAACCCATCATGTATTTTTAAATTAACTTTATTTTAGGCTTTAGATAACGAGAGTCCCCCCCCCCCCCCACTCCGAGAACGGACGGACCGCATGCGTGTTACCAAAATGTCCTTTCGTAACAAAAGAAAAAGGTCGACCCGTATTGACTTTACACACCGGACTTTTGTTGAAAGGGGGGGGGGGGGGTGCTGAAAAAGGCTCGTATAACAAAAGAAAAAGGTCGACCCGTATTGACTTTACACACCGGACTTTTGCTGAAAAGGGGGGGGGGGTCGATTGGAACACGCATATGCGTACCCTAAATAATACTGAGTGGGGGGGGGGGGCGGGCGAGAGTCAGACTCGACTAGCACATGTGCTATTTTTGACTCTATTTTACCATCGATCACAAAATCATTGTAAATAGTCATTTATTGTTTTACTCTTGAAGCAAAGTTTACTTTATATTTGTCATAATGTACATGTATATCGCTGTAGAACATGTATTTTTTTATAATTCATGTCAAGCATTTATGTTATATTGACATTTATGTTATATTGACATTGTCATTGTACATTTATCTTTTGTTTCAATGTTTTCAATGGTGGTGAATAAATCAATTCAATTCAATTCAATTCAAAAGGAAAGCGGCTTGATTACACTCCTTTCTTTCACCTTCCTGGTGGAGCGTAGGGACAATGCGAACACCTATAGCAACACACCGCTATTTGGGGGGGGGGGGGGGGGTCGGAATATCGCTATTGGTCGCGGGACGAAGAGACATGTAGACGAGATGTCACCGTCCCAGTAGGAGGAGAAGGCAAGTTAAGCCATGATCATCAAATAAACTTACTAAAACAACGAGAAGCAATTAAGGTCCCGAGAAATGGATCTTTTTTTGTAGAGCTCTATATAGGAGCGAATTTGACAAGAATCGTTATTTCTTGCCAAACAGAAGTCAATTTTTAGAGAAAAGTTGTCGTTTTGGGGGTCAGTTAAAAAAATTGTTTACTGAACGTATACATTTGAATGAATTTTTCCCTTTTTATTGTATATCACGTCTGAGATAAAGACAATTAGCCTTCATAATGTGATTTTTGTTCTTGGCCTTTTATATAGGTGTGTTTTACGGCGCCGCATACTTTCCCAGTGCAATCGTGATACGTTTTTATTTCAAGAAGCGGCTTGGATTCGCCAATGGGATAACATATGCTGGTGTGGGAGCTGGTTTCTTTGTGATGTCTCCCTTGCTAGAGACACTTTGCTCTGAGTATGGATGGAAAGGTGCACTGATGATTCAGTCTGCTATCAATGCAAATTTCATTGCCCTTGGAGTGATCTTACGACGGACTAACATGGAACAGACGATCATGACTGCATACAGATCAAAGCCGTTAACAGCCAGTCATCAAGTCTCGGATGCCAATGACTTGTCAAGGGCCGAGTCATTGTGCAAAAGGATCTTACGAAATATCGACGAGACCTTTGCCATCTCTCATCTGGTCAAGAATGCATATTTCATTACCTTATGTCTGGTGTCAATCCTATCTTTCGCCAGTCATATATCCGTGCTAATCTATACAGCGCCGAAGCTGGTCGGGGACCTTGGTCTCTCAAAGACCACGGCCAGTCTGGTGATGTCGGTATACGGAATCTCCAGTCTTCTTGCGAGAGTTCTCCACGGGTTTCTTCTTGATTTTAAATGGATCAGCACCACCAACCTGTACATTCTATCGCTGCTCATAGCAGGAATCCAACCATTGTTCAACCCTCTGGTCACCTCGACTGCGGGACAGTTTGCGTTGATAGTCGTCTACGGTATCGGTGCCGGAATGATGATACCCATGACGATGCTAGTCTGTAGAAAGTACGTTGCGATTAACATTGTTTCCAGTGCCATTGGACTGCTCATTACAGTAGGAGGAGTAGGAAATATTCTTGGCACACAGTTAATGGGTACGTATCATGCTCCTAGTGTGTCTTTCACAAAGACTAAGGTCGAATTTAAGTTGGACTCAAGTATGACAGGCCTTTCATACAACTGGTTGTTGTCACCATTGGTCTCTCAATTATGATATTTAGATAATATTTTCCACGATTCGTACCTCCCTTGAGAAACCAATGCCAGGAGTGGTTAGAGGAACTAGTGGCATGAACAGCCTGCCATAGTTTAGTCCAACTTGAAGTCGATCTTATTCTTTGTGAAACATTCCCCAGGTGAGGTGGTCCGACATTTACTCCTGCGACAATAATTGCTCATGGCTTTATTCCATCAAAGGTAAAGGGTCAGGGTCAGGGTCAGGGTTAGGGTTAGGGTTAGGTAGAGGGTTGGGTTCAGTATTGAAGATAGGAATTTGGTTTGTATAAGGAACTTGACACGGAGCGCTTGTCGCAGGAACAAGTTTCCTACAGCCCACTTGGTGATTTATCCCAAAGGAACCAACCAGACATCATCACAAACCGATGACGTCGTGTTCCAATTGGTAACATGATTGTCAATTTAACAGTTTCTTAAAGGCCCACTGCGCTACTTGTAGCTACTTGCGCCCTCTTACAACAAACAATGCCTAATCGGTGACCATTGGTTCCCCATGATCCTCTTTTTCTTATGTTAACTGAGAGCTGAGTTGATGAGATAACCACCTGTCCAGTGACCTTGCAGGGCGCTCTAATCCCTCCTGTAAACTATGGCAGATAAGCTTTAAGGAAAATAAGCATGCTTAAGTGTAAAGGGTGGATCCATATTAACATTACTGGAACAAATATCTTCCTTTTGAGCCTAAAGAAGGTAAAGAATACACCCACAAGAAAACAAATCGATGAAGAGTGTAGTACAAAAATAGTTAAGCACCCTCTTAGCGAAGCATAGTACGATTATGTTCTTGCCCCATTTTCTCTTACAATCACAGGACAATTGTCTGATGCCACAGGTTCTTATGCAGTTCCGTTTTACGTGTGTGGTTCTTTCTATTGGTTGTCGGCCATAGCAATGGCGTTGATCACCAAGTGTAAACGATTCAAAGACGGCAATCAGCATGATATAGCCGGAGCCATTCCGGACGTAGCTGCAACACAGACTGACTTTGATGATATCCCTAAAGACACCTCGAAGGCCACGACCGGTACAGGTTATCATCAAGTTCCTGGAGATATACAGGAAGGATCGGATAATTGGGAATCCGCGGTGTAGAGCACATTGTATCAAAAGGAGCTCTTTTAGTATGCAGTATACATGTACTACCACAGGACTACATGCTTTGGAAAGACTGGCAAATATATTTATATATATATATATATTCTCTGAAATATATTTTCATAACTCTTCACTTGGTTAAAGGACCATTATTGACAGTATTAAATTGATCATTGTGCAGTGTTGTAATCATCAAGATTGTTATCGATTTTGGGGAAAAAATTACTTAGAATATCTCGGTCTTAAATAATGATAATTGTTTCACACATTAATCTTGCCTTGCTCATGATGTGTAATCACGCTGCCAACAGCAAAGTTAACATTCAACCAAAGACAGATAATAAATTTACTTATATATAATTACATGTGTTTATGAATATCTCTGATCTCTGTGTAATTGAAAGTATAGATATTTTCATCGCTATGATATGCCTAATGCAGATCTGAATTGGTAAGCCGTGGCGTTTTTGTTAACACTGTGTACAACGTGTACAAAGAAGTTGAACTTTTCGAGTACATGTAGTAGTTGCGTTAATTCAAGTCCCTTCCACATCGGATCTGCGTATAGTTGCGTAGTGTGGCGTATGAAATTACGCTGCGCATTCATGAACGAAATGTTGCTTCGGCGTAGGGTTGCGTAGGTTTGCTTAGGCCTGGCGTAAAGGATCTAGGACGCCTTTATACCCTTTACTGCTTCGTCGGACTGGCGTAGGGTAGCATACCATTGCGTAGGCATGCCGTACAGTAGCATATAGTATTGCGTAGTTATGTGTAGACTTGCGAAAAAGTGCGTACTTCTGCGTCTAGTGTCTACGCCGAAAGTACACGAAAAGAATTAAACATGTTTAATTTGTTGCGTCCATCTCGCGTACCCTCTGCGTCCCCCAGCATATAGTTATTTAGGCCAGCGTAGGCGGCGTACGCTCGGCGTTGGACAGCGTAGGCACGGCGTTGTTAGCACGCAACACTACGCAACTCTACGTAAGGCCCGGTGTGAAAGGGGCTTTAGCTTTGATTAACCTATATACATTATAGTTTTTTCTTTTGTAAGTCTATAACGGCTACAATTAAGCGACTGAGGATATTTAACTAGATGTGTTTAATCGTATCAATTATATGTGTTGTATGTATCTCTTGTTTCAATCCCCATTTGACAATAATGTCAAATATTGTCATCGTTTAATGTTATATTTATCTGACAAATTTCTTTCCGCCCCCACCCCCCCCCCCCCAACAATAAACAAAATGTGAGTGAAGTGAACTTTAACTCATTTACAGTGCTAATGTCATTATTAAACCTGATCACAGGATACATTAATGGCTTTTGACGCATTAAAATATTCCTAGCATCGTGATTAGCGCTGTACAAAGGAAGTCGTTTATTTCTGGTTGATCTCTAAGACAACAACAATCGTTAAAATCGGCAAATCATGAGCAGACTACATGCAATATAGGCAATTCGGTGAAAGGCCATTTGAGGTGACTCGGCAAGGCAAATGCACAACCATAATTTGTACACGGCCCTATTGTATCGAGCATTGAAATCGTGTTCATATTACGAAATATGCCAGAGGAACCTATATTATACAAGCCCTGCTTTTTAATAGGCTCCTCGCATTCTACTTTATCTATTATATGAATTGAGAATCATTGACATGTGCTCATTTATACTACAATTGTAATGTATAATTTGTTACTTTTATTTTCGTATGTGGAACATTAAACTTGAACTTGAACTGTCGCGTTCGTCGTTTTAGTATGTGAAGCACTAGGCTTTGGAGAGCGGCTCAAGTTGATATTTTTCTCAAAGTTTTGCGATCGTCTACCACTATCATTTTCTCAGATAAAATTATGGCTGTGCATTTGCCTTGCGCACCTCAAATGACCTTTCACCGAGTTGCGTAAGGTCATATTTCACATTCTCCACCAGTATAATCTTGATTCTCGAACTTATCTGCCCAGTGCATGTTGTATATGGGATGTTTGCAGTGCGTAATGTCCCGACACTGGTCATGCTGTACAATTCTATTCAGAAAAGTGTTTGCCGGAATCGCGCCCATGTTTACCAATTTACAAATAACCTTTATCCGACTTTCTAAGCAAAGTTGTTTCCCGTGAGCCTCATATCAACACAATACATTTAACGGTTATGCGGTAACGTAACTTGGCGAAATGACCTTAATACAGCTATAAATCATGACGTAGTTTCTCTGTGAACAGGTTTTTGAGCAAAGGACTGCAGATACAGACCATGGTATGAGAATTATATTTGTTCCCTCGGGCAAAGGAAAGACTAGTCCAAGAACAATTTGCTGTAAATAAAGCAGAAACATCAAACTAACATAATTATCGAACAATTGATAAAAAGAGCTAATTATAGCATATGATTTGTTTTAATGACATGGAAAAACCATGGAAAACTACCGTCAACATCACTTTACAATTGGCGACTTGGTTGTGAGCTGGTAAATTCACTACCTTATTATATACAATTTTGGTTTGCTTTATCTGTTTTTCTGTTTACCAGTCCTTACCTTCTTTTTTTAAATCCCGAATTGCATGTGCCTTCCCAAAATCTTTCATGAACTTTCAAAAATCTGAGACTATTCACCTCCGAAATAGTTTAAATTAAAACAAAAATTTTTTTCATAATTTTATAGAAAGAAAAATACAGTGAATACCCCCTAATGCAATTGACTCTTACTGGTTTAAGCTACATGGAAAACCGTGACATATTCTTTGATAGATGGGCAATTATATCATATACATAAAACAATCGGTGAATACTGTATGACCGTGCCAGGTATATTTCACATCAACTTCTAGGGCACAACCTCGCATCCTTCCTACACATAAAACTTGTAACTAAAATTGAGAATCGTTGTTATTTAGAGTGGTTGGCCGGTACCGTTTCATGGACTTTGGAATGCCTTTCATATTGCTCCGATAATTGTCTCATTTTCGCTCGCGTGAACATTGCCAGCACAAAACACTGACCTCGACCTCCTGGACGGATCATTGGCCATTCCCATTCACTGTACGTTACGTACTAAAAGGCTGACCGTTCATGAATATTCATGTTTTTGCTAAACTCGGCAAAATATTTGCTTTTACTAAATGGAAAAATTACGGTGGGGGTTGGATGAAATGGACAAAATGAACATAGCAGAAGTGATAATTGATAATTCATGCTTCTTATCATTCGTGTGCTTGACCTATAATGATTATAATCTTACAATCACTTGGCAGACTGAGTCCAAAGTTCGACTTGTTTCACATGTGTATTATAGACAACGGCGAGCTTGCAACCTAGAAAAATTACGGTGGGTGAACTTTCAAAAGTCAATGAGACATAAGGGCTCCAATGAAAGAGCTAGTGATAACGTACGTCGGGGTGGATGTGCTTTTCGTTTAAACAAAAAATGAATTTTTAACGATTAAAAAAAAAAACGTCCATAGGCTAACATGTATGGCTGCTGACTCTAACGATAGGGGGCGTTGTGAAATGAGACTAAACGGAGCTATATGTCTATTCGCGCTGAACCTATTTGTGACCATGCATGTCGTATATATGTAAGAAGGGTTGGACAGAATTTACACATGGAGAGAGAGAGAAAGAGAGAGGGAGAGGGATAGATAGAGGGAGAGAGAGAGAGAGAGAGAGAGTGGGAGGGAGGGAGGGAAGGGTAGGCAGAAGGGAGAGTGTGTACATGGTGAGGACGTGGAATAAAGGAGGGGAGGAGAAATAGGCGTACAGAGAGAGAGAGAAAGAGGGAGGGGTGGGTGGGGTGTGCGAGATAGATGAAGGGAGGAAGGGAGAAACAAAGGGATGGATGGAGGGTGGCGAAAGAGAAAGAGAGAGATCGATGGAAGGTGTACGGCGAGAGAGAGAGAGAGAGAGAGAAAGAGGGAGGGGTGGGTGGGGTGTGCGAGATAGATGAAGGGCGGAAGGGAGAAACAAAGGGATGGAGGGAGGGTGGCGAGAGATCGAGATCGATGGAAGGTGCACGGCGAGAGAGAGAGAGAGAGAGAGAGATAGGAAAAAATAGGGGGAGGGAGTACAGAAGAACCCCATGAAAGCAAAGGAAAGTAGGAGAAAATTTTATATAAAGATGTAATGAAATATGATAAAAGATATTGAATTGAATGAGAGGAAAAGACATTGAGAAGGATGGAATGAAATATGATAAATTTCATCTGGGCGGTAAAATGGTCACACTTTCAAATATTGTATATGAGGCCTCAAGCAAAATACTTGTTACCATAGGAGTGTGTTTTTAAGAGCAATGTTGGTTATGGAGTACATAAATTGGACATATCAAGAAAAATACTTGTTATCATAGGAGTGTGTTTTTAAGAGCAATGTCGGTTATATGGATAACATAAATTGGACATATCAAGAAAAATACTTGTTATCATAGGAGTGTGTTTTTAAGAGCAATGTTGGTTATGGAGTACATAAATTGGACATATCAAGAAAAATACTTTTTATCATAGGAGTGTGTTTTTAAGAGCAATGTTGTGTTGGTTATATGGAATACATAAATTGGACATATCAAGAAAAATACTTGTTATCATAGGAGTGTGTTTTTAAGAGCAATGTTGGTTATACTTAAGGTACACAATAATTGACAAAGAAAGAACAAATTGAGTGAAGTGAAGAAAAAGAAGGAAATTTTGGCTGCACAGTGTATTCGTAGTCTGTGGCTAAACCAACTCTAAATATGACCCTTTATGTTTAGGGTTAGTGTGTTTGAATGTTAGGATTTAGGTTAGGGGTTAAATTTAGGGTTAGAATTAGGTTTAGTTTTCATCAGAAGAATCGAATACAGACCCAATAGATCGTAAGACCTGAGGGATGTGGGAATTAAGAGACAGAACCTTGGTATTACCTCGTAAGACGTAATAATTTAATAGCGGAATGCCTGCTTTTAGTGGTAGTGAATGATTTACAAGAGGGCATCACAATCACACACTGTTTCCCAAAGGTGAATTGGCATTATCGCATTTTGTACTATGAATACACAATTCTGTTTCTTTGCCAGGTTTCCTCGCAGGGGCGTTATGTCAACGCTTTGGGTGCCGTCTTGTGATGACATTTGGTGGTGTTATTGGTATGATTTCTACTTTCTTTGCTTCATTCTCAACACAACTCTGGCATCTCCACATTTATAGCACACTCGCAGGTTAATAATCCACAAATTTCGTTTTTAGAATCCAGGGCTCGAATCTATAAAACCTTACTTAGGCTATTTTGTACTATAAAAGCCTCTGCATTTAATTGACAACTAGCTTAGTAAAGTGTATGCATAATGGCCCTCGTTTATTAACTGTACGATCCAACTTGGGAAGAATTTACAATTGCATTAGATGAATATTCCAACATGTCCAATCATAATTATATGATACGGGCCCGACCCCCTCCCCCCACCCCTGGAACGCAGGTACGCACATGCGTGTTCCCAAAATCTCCGGCTCGTAACAAAAGAAAAAGGTCTACCCGTATTGACTTTACACACCGGACTTATGCTAAAAAGGAGGGGGATGCTGAAAAGGCTCGTATAACAAAAGAAAAAGGTCTACCCGTATTGACTTTACACATCGGACTAATGCTGAAAAGGGCGGGGATGCTGGGAACACGCACATGCGTAACCTAAATAACACTTAGTGGGGGGGGGGGGGGATACGGGTCATACAGACTCATAAGATCTTTTTAAGAACAATAAAATAAGATTTGTGGGGCAGCCAGGGAGGTGAAAGAAAGGAGTGGAAACTCTTGTAATTTATTCAAACGCATTCGTGAGTTCTAAAGCGTAACAATGGTATGTGTAACATTCCATTTGGCTTTGAAGTTTCATGCTCCGAGCCGCGCTTCCACCGCGGGGAATTTCGAAGGCCAGGCACCGGTTTCACATTAAATTACAACATATTAAATTACCGGCAAAATTGCAGTGTAAATTATAAACTTTATATGGGGATTGTATTGGGAATAGTGCATCAAACGGTCTTTTAAATTTAGTGCTCCGCCCTTCCTATAATTTGTGCGCCAAAGTTGGTATAAGAAAAATTAGATCCTGAAAAAAACTCAATATTTAAGACAATGCGCTAATTTGTGCATGTTTTAATGTCCCATTATTGAATCCATGAGTTACAATCTTCGATAAATTTAAGTTTGCTAATGCGTGTTTTCGCGTGTTTTTCGTATTTTTGCAGTTGAAAAAAGGATGAAATTACACAAGTTTGTGTTCGCTTGTTCTACTCATCACACATGCAACAATTGATGAGTAATCATTGAGAGGGAAAGCGAACAATTGCTGGGATACTATTTTCTGATGTAGGAATTATAAATCCTGAAATTTCATGCGCTCTTTTATCTCACCACCTGGTCAACAGTTGCAGATTAGCGCATAACTTTTCGGCGGCTTGGAGCATGGGGTCAAAGGAAAGCAGCTTGATTACACTACTTTCTCTCACCTTCCTGGTGGAGCGTAGGGACAATGTGAACACCTATAGCGACAAACCGCTATTGGGGGGGGGGGGGGTCGGAATATCGCTATTGGTCACGGGGTGATCGAAGAGTAGACGAGATGTCACCGTCTCAGCAAGAGGAGAAGGCAAGTTAAGCCATGATCATCAAACAAACTTACTAAAACAACGAGTTTTTCTTTGCGTACACCTTGGTAAAACTTGGTACACCTCAGTTATAAGTGTACCAATGACGTAACTAATGCGCATCGCCAGAAAATTCTGCATGAGTGGAAACGGGCCTTTGTTTGATACCTTGCAAAGGAAAAATGAGATTTTATACTAAGTTCTCCTTCTAAATTCTGTATTCATAATAATAATAATACATAAGATTTATAAGGCGCCAAATCCACTTGACAGTCAAATGCTCAAGGCGCAACCGGAATTATAATGGAGTGGCAGCTTGTGTTCCGCACACGAGCCCTCCGCTCCCCATCTCTATTTTAATGCATTCTTCTAATAAAGTTTTTGTTTTCGTTTCTCCTGTATATCATTCTCTCTCTCTCTCTCTCTCTCTCTCTCTCTTTATTTGCTCTTCTCTCTCTGTTTTCTTCTTCTTTATTCTCACTCTTAACCCCTCCTACCCTCCTCTCGCGTGGTCTCTCTAATTAACAGTTTCTTACCACTCTCCGTTCACTGTCTTTCTGTTTATAATACACTGTTGCCCATGAAGTTGGAATATTAGTTGCTTACATCTTTTCATGAAGCGATTGCGACATTATGGTTTATTGTAAATAGATAATGTTTATCAGTTTCTCAAGACTTTACTGATCATTCTTAATGACTCTTTAAATTATCTACACAGTTCTGGAAAGATAAAAACTTATCTACAAAAGTGAACCGTAATTGTGAGAATGCCCTCATAATAAGAGGTAAGAAAAAATATTATAACTCTGTGGGCAACAGTGTACATGCTTATGTGTATGTGTCGCAGCTCTCTTACCCCCCTCTCCCTCTCTCTTTCTTTAAAGAGGGGGTATTTGTGTAGTATTATCGATTTCATGAAAACTCTCATCCATCTTATTTCCCACTCTCTTCACTTTTCTTTTATTTAGGGGTTGCATCACGCACACAGTCTTATTCGAGTAACAATTTTTTGGATCGACTGAGACTGGCAACTGAATCTCGATAACAGTTAATAAATTTCTATAGCTTTCAAGACTAAAACTTTATTGAGAAGAAAAAAAATCATATATAAGGGATTCATAAATACTTCACACAATATTTTAGGACAATCCCACAAAATCAATAACCCTAAATAATGTTATGGCACAAACAGCAATATCTAACCTTCAAACCTTTGATTAAGAATGTTTTACAACACGACAGAAATGATTATTATAGTCTTTCAAAAAAGATTTTCTTGAATACAGTTTTCTAACTGAAAAGAATTGTGTTGAATACTCATGTGATCAAATTTCTTAAGCAAATATGACTTAGCAAGCAGCGCCCACATCATTTAATATTAATAACAACAACGACAACAATAATAATAGTTTATTTTATACAGCGCTTAATACGATTTGCAGAAATATTATTATCCTAGTCATCGGATTCAGGCATGTCCGCTCGCATTCCAGCCAAGCGTCATTTTACAGACGCTCACAATGCTGAGCAATGTACAATGAATTTCGCATTCTAATGGGATTCGAACCCTCAACCCTTGATTTGAGTGTCAAGCGAATGAACCGCAATACCAAGACACCTCCACATGAAGGTCCATTAAACAATCAATCCTCTATCTCGAATTGATGTTATCTTTACCAGCAAAATTTGAAATATACAAAAAAAAATGACTATAGCGAATTTTGTAAACATTTTGTTCATAAAAAATACACACCAAGATTAAATTCCTATTTGCATGCTTCATTAGTTCAGTTCAAGTTGTTCCACACACAAAAGGAATCAAAGCTTATGATGATTCGTCAGGAATCTGTTAAAAAGCATAAATATAAATTATGTATAGACTATACGTATTCATCAGAACCCTGAACTTAAAGTTTGAACTATAACCAGTAACATTGACACATGGATTCACATGATTCACAATCAAAGTTTACCTATATAGGGAGATCAATAATTTTTTTTTTTTTTTTTTTTTTGGGGGGGGGGGGGGGGTGACAATCGACGAGCAGAAAAAGGGATGTTTTTACTGTCAAATGCATTACTCATATTTTCATTTATTTTTCTCATAGGGATCAGATTTACTTCCATTAACATTTTTAAACTGAAATTTTTTTCATTAAAAATTAAAATTTCATGATACATGTACCAACCAATCATTACAAATAAAATCGAAATGAGTTTATTTCAAGGTCAAGCACCGCCCCCCCCCCCCCATGAAGGCTAGTATCTTTTACAGGAATATTGTGTTTAAGTATTTATATTTCTTAAATCCGTAATATTAAACTTATTAAAAGTTAAAAAAAAAAAAAAATATTACAATTCTTTTTTAATCTAAAAGCGATTGAGAAACATACTAAGTGCAAGTGCCATGATAAACAGTGCCCTCACTGGTGAGATGGTAACTGCACATGACTGCTGTAGTAGATTTTGCGGCCATTCAGAGGTTGGATGTAACGGTAATTGTCGACAATTTTGTAATTGCCTTGTGCGTTCAACTTATCGCCGTACAGGGTGCGGAACATGTCAAGCTGTTAGAAGAAAAACACACGAATTAATTATCGAACTTTCAAGAATGAGTCATTTCCAAAGGTCCCTTTTTTTGGCCGTTTTTTTTTTTTTTTTATTAAAAAAAAATTGAGGGGGGGGGGGGGTCCTCCAAAACACACACATAAAGAAATTGAGGAGGGTTCGACCCCAACCCACCCCCCTTCTGCGTACGCGTCTGGGCCAAACCTCAGGGAGGTATCTGCATTTGATTACTGTCAGATGAGCTTATTTTGATACCTTATTCGTGACACTTGCGGGTCACGAATTTGCGTGAGGTACAGGGGGCAGAGCCCCCGGAGGCTCAGGGGTGTTAGGCAATAGATTACGGTCAGATAAGCATATTTTTATACCTTATTTGTGACACTGGCAGGTCACGAATTGGCGTGGGGTCCAGGAGGCGGAGCCCTCGGAGGCTCAGGGATTGTAAGCATGTAATTACCGTCAGATTAGCGCCCAGCCTCCCGCCTTAGGGCCCTAGGTGTGGCCCTGGGGGCAGTCAAGGGGTTTTCGGCATTTTATTACCGTTAGATGAGCATCCAGGTGCCTGACTTTGGGCCCTAGGTGAAATCCAGGGGGCAGAGCCCCCGGAAGCTTAGGGGTTTTAAGGCATTTAATCACGGTCAGATGAGCACATCTTTATTCATTTTTTTTTGGGGGGGGGGGCACCGGAAATTAGAAAATTACGTCGTCAGATATTTCGTTCAGTGGGGGGAAGGAACACTTTTCGTTGTTTCTTTCTTTAGCACACACACACACACAAACACAACAACAAAAACAAAAATCTTTCCCCTTTCCCCCCTTTTCCCCCCTTTTTTTTGCCAGGGGGGGGGGCGGGCCCCCGGCCCCCTGGATCCGCCACTGACTACTTCTACTTCTTCATCTTTACCTTCTTCTTTTTCTTCTACTACTAAACTACTACTTTTACTACTACTACTTCTTCTGCTACGACTACCTCTACTACTGCTGCTACTTCTATATTTACTTCATCTACATTAAGGGGAATATTAATTAAAGAACAAGAACAATAAAGTGATGGAACTTGAAGTGGGGCTAGAGGCCTTAGGTCTGCCAAGGTAGTGCAGATAGGGGGTGCTTCTCCTGTAACGGTTTGTGGATACTCAAATGTAATACTCATCAGTTTAGTAGGAGCATCAACCAAACATTTGAAAATAAGAGTATCATGCTATTTTATAGCTAAACTAATTAAAAAGGAAGTAAGAGACTGACATGATCCCGAGGTGTACAAAGTTGGTAAAAAATAAGGATCGTTGGGTGCATTAGACAAAATGGTATCCATAGGGTTAGGGTTAGACGATTTCGTCATCTTAGAACACCCCCCCCCCCCCCCCCTCGCCGAGACCCCATCCCCTTACTCACCTGAGCCTGGGAGATAGAGATCGGGTCTTTAAAGATGTTATAGATGATGGACTCGTCGCAGTTGGGCAACGCCTTGGAACCATTGTAACGGTAGAACTTGGATAGGTCAGTTGGCAAGACGTTGCGGATTGGGAACGATGGGAGGTTGCCCTGGCCAAGGGAGGTGTTGCCCGAGGAGTAATTGGCGATCTGGCTGATGTAACTTAGGAAGGGATCGAAAGCAGTGTTAGATTCGCCAACCTATAGAGGGAAAGCGGGAGAGATAGAAAGAGAGAGTGATATGGAGAGATAAAGAGAGAGAGAGAGAGGGGGGGGGGGGGGGGGGGGTTTGATTGGTTGGTTGGTTTTATTTACGATCATAAAATATGGGATACAACCATCATAACGCATACAAAACCACGTTAAAAATATTTAACAAGGACTATTCTAGAAAAATAAAATATTCAAAGTAAAATGAAGATCGAGGGATCACCCGCTTCAGATTAACCGGCAAAGTTGATCTGTTCTATCTCGGGGTGTCACACTAACTACAATAAATTGATTAAATAAATATATTTACTATAAGCATGAAACAGAGTGCGTAAATATTAATAATTATTATCATAACAATCTATTCCCAGAAACGTTAACTGGAGGCCCCATAAGTAGGAGAATCGCAAAGAGTAGGATGTAAACCGTGTTTAGTGCACCGGCCTGACCGATTTTGATTGTATGCTGCATGGCCCATTGAAGAAGAAATGATAAGAAGAAAAAAAGAACACGGGGAGCTCTTACCTCAATCATCACAACCAGTAGGGTGACTGCATCCCATTGCGAGCTGGCCAAAGCTGCGGGGCCATTGGCGTATTTGGATTTGTCATAGTGAATCATGTGCATCTAAATAAATGAATAATGGATTCATAATAATAATTGTTATATACCTCTCTTTAAAAGTCTAGCCATCTGATTGGTCGAAATTGCAGTCGTAATTTTAGCCATTTCCATAAAGAGCCGAACATGCCAGTAATGGTCAATAGAACTGTTCATGAGTGATATTCTTGTAAGATTCCGGGTACCAGAAAAATAGTTGCGATTCCCATCGGTTTACGTGTTAAAACTTAGTTTGTGCGCAGCGCGGCTACGATACAGTTTTTTTAAATATAATTTGGTCACTACATTTGCACACAGCGCAGACTCAAAGATTCAAATTCAAATGGTACCTAAATGTACTGGGAGGATTACTCTATCAAGACATATCATGAAACCCATGATTAAATATTCATACCTCAAACAATACAACTTTTAAAAAGTGGGAATTTTTTTCTGACTCACTTTGTAGACATATATTCATTTATCCAGTATGAAATGTTAGCCATGTGTTTTTCTTCTGCCAACTTTGGTCTATGAACAGTATATGGTCTATTCCTGAAACAAGAACCTTTGGAAGATAATTCCTATGATCAATTTATATAGGAATTCTTGTTATTGGGGGTACAAAATTAAAGGCTAAAATTCCAATAAAACACAATTTCAAAATGATAACACTTCAAAGTGTCAGGTTACCAGCGACAATTTTTGTACAAAAGACATACAGATAACCTCGCGTAAGTCGATCTTCTCGGGACAGAGGGAAAATGTCAACTTACGTAATCTATCCACTAAGTAACAGCCCTCAAAATTGTATTTTGAGCCCTCTATTACCATTCTCACACAGCCAACACACCTGAAATTCAAACAAAAGTTGCTGCTGATGAAGAACTCATATGGTCTAACTTTTCATGTAACAAGACATTCGATTAAACGACTTTGTGTTTCCGGGAGAGATGAGTAACACTGTGGGTAACATAGTTGCACCCTGATTGTGGCTATATCGACTACTTTATCTTCTTTTCCTTCATTTTGCTGTTCTATTCGTGATTATCATCATTTAAGGTAGTTACCTTTTATTTATATTTTACCCCCCAGTGGCGGTTCCGGGGGGGGGGGGGGGGGTTGAAACGGCCGCCCCATTTGCAACCTGCATTTAATTCATCGCTTAGATATTTACAAAACTAATTTATATTTAACGACCTTTGTTTGAACATCTAACATATCTAAACCACCTTCTTGAATACTATTTAATACATTTGACCTTTTAACCTTTGCAGATCTCCCTTTCCATAGGAAATCAAAAAATAACTTATCGAGCTCCTTAATTATCTCTTTAGGACAAGACAAAACTTGTGATGTATAAATGATTTTCGAAATTATTAATTATGGTATTAATATCATTATTTTCCCTTTAAGCGTGCGGTTTCCAAATATTTAACAGCTGAACATAAACATCTATCCATAACATATTTCCAATAGTATTTGTTGGATTGTTGGTTCCCAACCAGAGCAATTTTGTCTTGTTTTCATGTAATTGAATTCCAGAATACTTTTCAATTATGTTAATAATATTTATAGCTGTATTACCTGACATAACTTTACGAACAAATAATGTCATCTATCTATCTATCAGGCTATAGTTCATCCAGACATTGGACAAAGCCCTCCTCATGAAATTTCTATTCTCTTCTGTCTCTAGCTGTCCTAGTCCAAGCGGCCGTTCCCATGTATGATGTTAGGTCATCTCTCCATCTTCTCATAATGTCATGTCATCTGCTAATTGTACTATTTTAAATGTTTTCTCATTACAACCAACACTCAAGCCTATGACATTGTTATTTTGTCTAATCTCATTTGCAAGAGCTTCAATGCTAAGGATAAATAATAATGCAGATAGGCGACACCCCTGTCTTATACCTCTAGATGGTTTTATATCTTTTGTCAACCAACCGTTTATTAGGATATTGAGATGAGGATCACAATACATCACCGAGACACACTTCCTGAAGTTATCATTAAAACCATAGCTCTTCAAACATGTATCAACAAATTTCCATTCTATAGTATCAAAAGCCTTTTTAAAATTGGCAAATATGATTGCACCATCATTCTAATTAAATGCACTATAATCTATCATATCTTGATTAATCTGGCATTCACTGATTAAGTGTGTTAAAACTTTTTGGAGCCTGTTTGCCAACACAGTTGCAAGTATTTTATAATCGGTATTAAGCAATGTAATGGGCCGACAATTTCCTAATTCTATCGCTTCAAATTACACAATGGTTATTATCTTTCTCCAAAAAAATATTAACACAAATTGGGTAGCATTATATTGACACCAACTTTGATATCTGAATATGCATTATTATTATTATTATTATTATTATTTTTATTATAATTATTATTGATACCGTGGTGTGATGGTTGTTAATTTCTTGTCTTTCCTCATTTAAAATGCAGGTTATGTGCACCCCCCAGGTTGTTCTCAAAACTATGTATATAGTTCAAAGATCTACACCATTAAAGGTATAGCCCCGTTTTGAAAACGACCCCTCCCAAGAAATGAAATGGAAGTTCTTATTACCAATCATGTGAAAGAATACGTTTTGACTAGTACGTGATGATACAAATTTTGCCGGGAAACCGCCTACTAATTCATATATTTGGTAAATTATCATATCGATCCGGCCTGAATAGATACCGCGAATGCACATCAACATTGAACATTTGGGAATATATTTCTGCTTTATTGCGAATTTAGGTTAAATTATTGCCATCTAAAACCTCTGAAGGCAACGTTTAAACAATATTGAATGGATATTGTGCACCCAAAACCTTTGAACCACAATTTTACCACTACCGGTCTTTTACTTAAACAGAGTACGATCCCCATCCAGCCAGGCACCATTTAGTAATATTATTCTCTGTAATGGTTTATTTAGGAAAAGTGGAAATTTAATACTGGTAAGTTGTTAAATAACATCACTTAGTTTGTTTATTTATTTTTATTTATTTTATTTTAGCACGGTAGCATACTTCAGCCAATGGCTGTTCTTCAGCATGGCCGTGATTTGATTGAAGATATATCTCATTAATGAAACAGTGTAAAGGTTAACTACAACCATTAGGCCAGGCGCCAAATTTAGTAATCTTCTTTTGTGTATCTAAAGACCGAGGTTTCCCAGATTTATTTAGGAGAATGGAAGGTTGATATTGTTAAATTGTTCGATAACATCACTCAGTTTGATTTGATCGGAGAAATATCTCATTGATGAATCAGTGTTAAAGCTATATATTCCCAAACAAACCTACATCATTAAACTTAGTTCCACCTCTATTAAAGGGACTTGGTAACATCGTTCAGATGAGAGAAAATGGCGACTTCGATGCTAAATGTATAGATAATCTCAAAGTTTGAGTAAAAATAGACCATTATTAATTATTTATGATACAAATTGGGAAAAATGATCTGATCGATTTCTTAAATCTCCCAACTCTATTATAACAATTTAATTACATTTTAGGTTAATTAAATTGTTACAAAGCAATGCATTAAAAAAAGCCTGTTATGTGTGTTATTTTTATGGAAAAACGGTTGGGAAAATTCAAAAATGGTTGGGAGAATTTACTATTGAAGGGTGTCGCACAGTGGATTTTTCAGTTTTGTTTTTAATGTTAGAGAGTTTTGATATGTTGATATGTTGTAGCTAAGATAATTCTCTACAAGCTCAATCATAACCATTTTTCATTTTGATGACGTCATCAGAGTGAAAATTTCGATTAAAGGCCTCATGTCAGAAATTCATAATTTACAGGAATTATGAATGTTTAAATTTAACAGATAGGACATACATGACATATCGTCCCTATTTTCACGAAGTGACGGTAGTGAATGAAAATCGCATACAATTTGCCTGCGGATTTTCCTCCTACCGTGAAAACAGGAACGATATATTCATAATTCCTGCAAAGTTCTACAGAAGTTGATGTTTTCTGCAAAAGGAGGAGAAACATCCTGAAACTTTAACATTTATCCCCAAAGGGGTCACCCCCTCCCTCTGGCGACGCTCCTGCACATGACTTACCTCAGCGGGGTAGGAGGTTCCGTCAATTAGATGTTCTGAGCCTTGTGAGTTGATAGACCCCCAGTGGAAATGGAACTGGACAGCTGTGTAGGTAGTAGGGAGACCGCCCCCAGAGAGCTTGTATAAGTCCTCCACTTCTTCATGCAATTGGATGGCTACTACATTGAGAGGAGAAGATTAGAGAGGAAACAATCGTTACATTTTCATGGCTATTACACGTATAGCTTGTAGTCATTCATCGTAACAAATTCATTGTATAGTCATGCTGTTCATCATTATAAAGACATTTTATTCATCGTAATATAGTCATTTTATTCATCAAAATAGAGTAATGTTGCTTTATACTAAGTCATGTTATTCATCAGAATATAGTAATTTGATTTTGTTATCCTTACCTCCACGCCCGTTGTTTACCAGATCCATGTTAGTATTTTCGTCGGTATAGCCATCGAGCACGAAGGGACCGAGATCAGTTGTGATGGCGATGCTGGAGATGATATTGATGGGCGACTGGGAGTTACCATTGCACTGGTTACCCGGAAGGAGATGCCAGGTATCTTGGGTTTGGTATGACCAGCCTGTAAAGAACAACCACAGAAATAGTTCATAGTCAAGTTGTCGTATTATCATCATTTATCTTCAGTTAATTATTATAGTATTAATGACTGCTTTGAGAGAAATAGTTGTTTTTATACGCTCAAGGGAAGGTTAGAATTGTGCTATTGCCCGAGGCGTGCCGATTTTTTTTTTTTTTTTGCTGACTAGCTCCCCCCCCCCCCCCCCGGGTCCACCCCTTGGATCCGCCCTGACCCCATCAAATAAAAAAAATGGGTCACCAGACCCGCAAATATGCCGTAGACCCTGGTTGTCCCATGAATTTACCAGAGAACGGCGGAAAGAATGGTGTCCATACGATCGTGCCCTATATAGGCCTACGTTGGAATTGAAAGAATTTGTCTTTAATTGAATAAAGAGGTGACGAAAATGTGCGGGAAAATCCATTTAGGCTTAATCTATAAATAGGAAGTTTCATGGTCAGGTGGCGAGCTTAATTTATCACTTTCTTGAAGATATTATTTTTTAGATTTGCGATTGGATGAAAGTTTTTTTGGCATATATTATGCTGTCCTATCAGATTGATGTGATAATGTGTTTCATAATAATTGAAATGAGGCAAAGTCACTTCGATGTTCGTGTTCATCCATTAAGCTGGTGATACTCCTACGATCAGCCTACATGTCATTTATCTTCCTCCCACCTAGCTTCTCTCTTCTTTACTCTTCTTTTTTCTTCTCCCTCTCTATCTCTCCTTTCCTTTTCTCTTTTCTTTTCCCTCTCCATCTCTCTCTTTTTCTTTCTTTTTTGTTGTTGTTGTTGTTGTTTAGGCTGGGAAGCGGTACGGTCAATCCCGTACCAACCAAAGCGGCTCCGACGGATGGTCTCAGTCAAATATAAATACTGTAAGCATGCGTGACCAAGAAAACGCGTATAAAGGGGCGTATTTTATATAGATTGGACGCGGTCCGCACGGTGCCGCGTTAAGGGAGGTCAAAATAAACGTCCTTTTTGGGCAATTATCAATAAAAAGGGTACTTTTTCAAAATCCTGCTGTAGGTGTACACGATTAGGGATATTTTTCTAGATCCCGACTCAGAATTGAATTTCCTCGGAGAAAGGATGGCTGTGCATTAAATTCACTTTTTATTGCTTCTCTATTGAAATAAATGTTTACATTGTGAATTTGACATCAGAAGCGCAATTCGATTTACTTTACATTGTCAACAATTTAAATGATAATCCGACCCTATCGTTCTTCAAAATGCTCAAGGGATTACAATTTGACAATACTTGTTTAGGAGTAAACTTGTGTAAAATACCCGTTTGGGGTGTGAATTCGGGGAGAAAAACACGCGAAATCCTCATTTAGGGTGTATTTTGGCTTCAGAAGAAATCCTCGTTTAGGGGGTGTCTAGAAAACCTGTGGTCACACATGCTTACACTATTTCTACATGACTGAGACCCCGGGGGGGGGGGGGGTTATAATGACAAAGGCGTGGAGCTGATGGTGACAGCCAGAAACAGAGGGATAACATGACCGCCACAGCTCAGAGAGAGAGAGAGAGATAGAGAGAGAACAACGAGAAAAAAAAACGTAAGTTGAAATCAGATCCATTTTCACGATTCACAATCACGTTTGTGCTAAAATTATGAAGCTTAAAAACAATGTATCACTTACTGTCACCAAAAACAGCAGGTACCACCGCCAACAGAGCAACGCATACACACAACTTCATCTTCAAACTTATTCAACTTTTCCGCCAGGCAAGGAGAATTTCGTTCCAAAATTGGATTTTGTCACAAACCGTCGTAAATAAAGGAGTTACACCTGTTTATACCCTTGGACCAAGGTGACGAATGTCAGGTAGATGATAAGGGATGTCGTCCTTCTACGGATGAAGGGAGGAGCTGTGAATGAAGGGAGGAGCTGCTGCAGCTGCGAATGAACTGCGGATAAAATTCGGTCGGTATATATATAATTTAGGTTAGAGGTGCTATGCGTCACGATCCACGGATATCGATCTCAATCAATGTCGCCAGACTGTAGTCTGTACTTTGTTCCAATATGTTATAAATTATAATATGTAATAGGGATACTATAGTACTGCAGAACAAAATATAGAGGGGGGGTTATAACAATATTAATTCATTCAATATAATTGAGATTACTGTATTTTGTACTCTGTAATTGATGTCAATATGTTATATATTACAATTTGTATGAATTAATATTATTTATTGAGTGAATACAATAAAGAATATTACAAAACAAAAAAAAAATCAATCTTTGTTGAATGTTAATCAAATATTTATTTGTAACATTAGCACCTGTGAATGATGGAAATAAAATACCACGTAAAAAAAAAAAAAAAAAAAAAAATCCATAATTCATAATAATTGCAACTGCGCATGCGTAAGGCAAATCGTCGGTGTCGATTTTGTTTCTTTCTCCACCCCCCCCCTCTCTCTCTCCCTCCTTCTCCATCTCCCCCTCTCTCTCTCCCTTCTGTAAACGTTATATTGTCGATTCACCTTATGTGCTCCAGCAGGTAGCAAGTGGGTAGTTAACATCAATGCGTGTATCTTTTCCTTTCTTTTGCACACGGGCGGAGTAGGCCTAAAAACATAGTAATGACACCCCCCCCCCAAAAAAAAAAGACAACAAACAAACAAACAAAAACACACACATACACACAAATTGTGGTACATAATTAAAAGTTCAACGTTAAGTTAAGCAATCGAGTAAATCACCAAGGCGCAAATCCTCTATGAATATGTAAATCAATATCTTATGCACAAATGTCTCTTTGAATGCAAATTATTGAATAAAACTTAAAAGAAACTAGACATATAATACTTGTTTGGAACAAGTATAGGTGGGCTGGTCAACTAAAATTTGAGACAAAATAGAGCAAAAATAAGCGAGATACTGCTTAAAAATGTTTAAAAAACAATATGTAGATTCATGACGTGAACGAAATTCATCTTCTTTAGGCATAACACGCAAATTATGAAATTTCCGATATGTGCCCGTTAATCGTAATTTTCACTATGATGACGTCATCCAAATGAAAAAAAAGTGTTTACTGAGCTTGTAGAGAATTGTCTTAGCTACAACAATCGATCAATATTTACAGAGATACAATCAATTTTACATAAATATGCTGACGTCATAATATGCAAATTCGTATTTTGAGTTCCAAGGCCATTATAATGATGTCACGATACACTTTTTTGGCCAAATGAGACATGAAATCATATCTCCGACACATACTCAATCTAAATATGAAAAAAAAAATGAAGATCCCGGTGCATTCCAAATACTATAATGGATAGTGTATAGGCCTGTTTTCCCCCATGTATGCTATGTATTAAAAGAGCTCGCGAGCACGGACATTTATCTTGAATGGATGCTCATCCTGTTATTAATGGTCATAAAGAGATAAACATTGTATCAAATTGTTCTAAAAAATATGAGAAATATCTTGAAAAAAAAAATGACGATTCTATGTTGTGTTGTGTATGGTGTGACGCGCGAAAACGCACGCACATGCGCGGGTGCGCGATTTTTTTATAAAATGCTTAAAATGACCTGAAACGTATGCAAAATAAATTTGAGACGATTTTGAGCATTTAACAATTTTGCGCGCGCTATGACGTTTTTTGACCTAAAGTTGACCGGACTGATATTGACCTTGATTATGATAAATATGAATGAGACATAACTTTTGGTTGTGAAGTTATGATCATATTAAGTATATTTTCAGAAAATTTCACAAACTGGCGCCTAGATGACGTCATCAGTCAATGTCAAGGTTGAAAACCTTACCTTGTCTTGTCCATATGTCTATACTTATGTGTGCCAAAGGAATTTGGTTGAACCATTTCAAAGTTATCTTGTTAACTAAAAAGTGGGTCAAAATAAGAAAAATAAACTAGATTTGTAGTACTTGTTTGGAACAAGTATAGGTGGGCGGCGACGTACCCTAGCCCCCGCTGCGTACAGTCATTATTTATTGGCTAAGCAATGACCTCGTTACTGTGAGGCCCCAGAATAAAAACCGTGTCGATCAGCTATATTAGTGCCCTTTTGTGAGGCATTAATCCTCATTACTATCAGTTATGACTTAAGGACGTAGGTCCCGTAGTTGATTAATATAGTAACACACACATGCTTTAGGAGTCACGCTAAACAAACACTCGCAAATTATTATTTAATAACATTTGAGAATGTATACTATAATCTAGATCTATTACGAATAAATCGTTGTCAAAATCATTCCATAAATTGGGGTTAATATAATTATTCCACCTTTATGACCAACATTGTATATTTAGCATATGAATATTAGTAAATGAATTATCATCGTGTGAATGAAAATAATAAAGAACAAGTATACACGATTTTGTTACCTTGGTATTTAAAAAGTTGTATTTATGTTTTGTTTCTATTCTGCTTTATGTCGCTTTTATGTTAATATTGTAGTGTAAGGACCCCAAGGAAGAACAGTAGTGTTCTATAAACACTGCCGAATTGGGTTATCCACCGATTTTTGTTTATGTACATATATAAATATTTTACTTTGTATTTTTTACTATGTATAATATTTTTATCTGATTTCGGAAATAAAAAGAACAACAACAACAACAACGATCACCAATCGCCGCCTTCTTAGATTTTATATTGTCCAGAGCATGAAAAGATTATGACAGTAATTATGATTGTTATTCTTAATAGATAGAAATCACATCCACAACCAGGCGCGGATCCAGGATTTCTTAGGGGGGAGGGGGGGGGGGAGGGGGGGGGGGGCAAGTTGAAATTATGCGAGCCAAATATTGGTAAGCAATTGAGAGCAACAGTGGCGTAATGAGCGAAATGTTAGAGAGAGGGGGGGGGGGGGGGGGGGGGGGGGGGGGGGGGTGTTTAACCCACAAATGTAATAACGCCCACTAATGTAATAACACTTTACCCACAAATGTAATAATTTCACCCACAAATGTAATAATTTTGAATCACCCACAAATGTAATAATGACTTTACCCACAAATGTAATAAATTTGAAGGGATATTTTGTCGAATTTGTTCAAAACTAAAACCCTGTAATAAAGCATGGGTATAGCGCGCAGTCTTTACTGCAGGACCGTATATTTAGAAAATTTAAAAAGTCTTCAAAACTAAGACCCCATAATACTTTTCCTGTGGAATAACATGAGAATCGAGCGTAGTCTTTCCTCCAGACCCGGTTATTCAAAAGTAAAAAAAAAAAAAAAAAAAAAAAAACTTTTAAACTAAGACCCCACCATCTTCCAAACTAAGACCCGGTAATAAAGCATAGGTTTAGAGCGTAGTTTTTCTTCCAGACCCGGTTATTTCCAACAATTTTTTTTCTTCAAAACTAAGACCCCATCATCTTATTCCTGTGGAAGAACTTCTTCTTCTTCTTGATTTGATTTTGTTTGGTAATCAGTCACAGTTGACTATTTTTGCCACACGATATTTTATGAATTATTTATATACCGGTAGGGTCTATATACATTATGTACAATTTCATGTCATAAATGACTATTTTTAGGATTCTTTCTCTTTCCATCCCCTTTCCTTATGCTTATTTTATTTGTATTCCTTTTTTTTTAGAGAAAATTCAATAAATTAATAAATAAATTTGGAAAGAGACGGCCTGTTATTACATTTGTGGGCGTTAATACATTTGTGGGTGTAACACTCCTCCAAGCCACTGAACGACGACGACGACGACGACGTAATTTTTCCAATTTTCGGGGCAAAAAAAAAATGTGGAGAGAAAGGGGGGGGGGAAGCGAAAGAAGAAAGGTAGGGTAGATCAGTTGCGATTTTTCCGCCAACAAAGTGTAGATCAGGGGGGGGGGGCGGGGCACTGGCGACTTGATCGAGGAGGGGTTTTATTTCTGATTCCATAACCGTTACGGTGGTTTACACATAATGCTGAAATGACATAATTTTCCGAGATTTTTCCTCATTTTTTAGTAAATTATACATTTTATGCGTTTGTTGTAAAATGACAAATTCATAAATTTACAGCCAGTAAATCCTCCCTCTCGTTCAAAAGCGTCTATAGTTTTTTTTGTTATTAACAAAACATTAAAAAGTTACGCAAAACGTTGTTTAAATATAAAGCTAAAATCTGTCCCAACGTTGCCTGCCCCAGATATCGATTTTCACAATCATGGATTGTATGTACTAATTCCAATCATGTTTTCACTCAGATGGATTGATTATACCCCTTAGCATATAAAACAAGCTACAATAAACACACCGTTTAGAATAGTAGAATTGTAAACAGGTTACCTTGTGTTCTTGATTATGTGCATGACAATCAAACCTTTCTGATTATCATAGTAATTAAAACAGCATATGGAATAGAGTTGTAAACAGGTAACCTTAGGTCCTTGATTAGTGCACGGCAATCAAACCTTTCTGATTATCATAATAATTAAAACAGCATATGGAATAGAGTTGTAAACAGGTAACCTTAGGTCCTTGATTAGTGCACGACAATCAAACCTTTCTGATTATCATAATAATTAAAACACCATATGGAATTGAATTGTAAACAGGTACTAGGTATCTAGCTACTCTAATAGAATCGTAAACAGGTACTAGGTATCTAGGTACTCTAAAATGCATTGTTGGACACCAGTGGTGGATCCAGGGGGGGGGGGGGTGCCTGAGCGGATTATCGGCCGGCACGATTTTCAAATTTTCGGGAGCAAAAAATAAATAAATTATTGCTCACTACCCCCCCTACCCCCTTTAATGAAACGTCAAAGCTTCCGCGCTTCGCGCAGG